AAAATACATTAGGTTGTCCCGAAAGTATTTTGTTTTTGATGGGCTACCACAACTCGCAGAATGAAGATTTATGGAAGGTCTTGGAAGGTATCCAACGCAGCTTTCATTCTGTCGCAAATGATTATGCTTCTATTGCAGTCTAAGCAATATCTCTCAGGAAATTTCCGGAAACTACGACCCATACTTTTTGCCTTAGCGAGTTTAGCTGTTTTTCTGAATTTTTGTACTGTTTCGCCGAAGAAGCCCAGGTAACAGGTAAATAGAGCAACCACTACATGATATAAAACAGTTTTTTCCCTTGCATAGCTAGCTTTTCAAAACTTTTGAAATTAATCCTTTGATGCTATCTAATTCATATATGCTTAACTCCATTTTTTTATAAAAACGCAACGAACTTACGGAACGAGCTATTAAATCGCCATTTCTCCTCTCCAATCGTGTAGCTAATGCAGCCCTTACTGCTATGGCAAAATCTGGCCGAAACAATGACCGCCAATGCAGCTCATCATAAACTGTACAGTGACACTTGAGCGGGCCATGCGCAAAAAACCGTAGAGAAAGTTATTTGTTTACTTGCCAACCTAATATTATGGTTCCTGAAAGGCTTAGCCTCTTGGAATGTCTTGAACTGGTAACCATTCAAAGTTTTATTTCAACTAGTACATGCAGTACTCCGAAAGCGTAGATGACATGAGTCTCTCTTCTTCTCAAAAATTCACGTATCTCTGGCACACGGAATCCACTTCGTCGCGTAATAGAGTGTAGCAAACAGAGCTTCTGGCACACTCGTTTGTAAGGCTTCCAGCACGAAACAAAGTGCAGCTTGGGCCCTGTAACACAGTGATATGGCTTCACATATGCCTAATATAATGCAAGTCCTAACACTGAATCTTGAAGAATACCTCCAAGTGTCACACTTGCAACTCTGAAGACATTAGTTGAGTAGGACATGTGTAGATAATTAGAAATTTTCAAGCTAAGGAACTGTGCACAAAACAAGCCAGTTCAAATGCCTTATGTCTTAGAATTATTGTAATCTGAGGTGCTGTTATGGTATGAAATAACAGAGAAGTTTCACTTATACCTCTGCTACAGTTCATACTCGACTAATTGCCCATCAAATGAAATGTTATTTCACGTGTTTTTGGTAGACAGTGTAAGAAACTAGCCAATTTAAGCGTTCTGTATTCATAGCATAGTATGAATGCTAATGATGCTCTATCTCAATGCAAAACGTGGTTGGTAGTAAATGCTCTAAATCCATAATTTTTAAGATATTCTGCACAAATGAGCTATGCAAGCTGCAAGACTTTACAGTCACATTTGTTCTTTACCAATCAAAGTTAGCACACTTTTCAGCGCTATTTTCGCAGAATTGGCGATCGTCGGACAATATTTTTGGTATTTTTAACAGTGCCTTTGTTCACTCTTGTGACTTGCTCTGGTCCTCCATCTTACCTGAATGCGGGGATTGAATTTTGTGTAAGCAATTGCAACACAAGTTTTGTTCTCATAGCACTCAGCGAAGCACCTGCTCTCATCTACAATGATTTGCCGAAAGTTTTGTCCGCTGAATGTTTCCACTTTGTCAAAAATGCACGAAGAAAAGCATCCTGCCTGAAAGAAAACTTTGTGAAGCATTTACTAATATAATAGTATTTGGTTAACTATTGGTTACCTGAATAAAAATGGCTTCCAAAGGGATTTCAAAAATAGTATGGTTGTGACTAGCAATATTTTTATTGTTTAGACGTCTGAAATCTTGACTTCCATGCAGACTGCTTTTGAAACTTCTCATATTCTAATGACTACTAATTACCGTAGCTCTCTGATTTTAGCATCAAAGGGATTACACAGTAGATGTGTATCTTTGAAGTTTGGTTCGAGTTGCACCATTCTGGCAGAATGAACACCTTCATATTTGAAGATCAAAACAGTAGTGACAATAAATAGCCTATGTACCCATAACAAGGTGCAATATGAAGATATAAGTGGCAGTCCCAGGATTCCCGCATGGGAGGGGGGGGGGCTGCAAATTTTTTTTGAATCAAGGTGCGTAGCGTTAGTCACGCACTTCAAAAAAATTTTTGGGGTGCTTCTCAGAATTTTTACGGGTCCCCAGCAACTAAAATCCTGAAGCCTCCGAAAAAATTTTTTGCAAGGCTAACTTAAATTTTCGAAAATTTTTGAAGAATTATTTTAATTGTCTACAAGAAAGCAAGTCATTTGCGCATTTTTAAAACCCATATAAGTAATTTTCAAAATTTCAAAAAAAAACCCATTCACGGGGGGGGGGGGGAGATACGTTTAGATTTCTGACGAGCAATCTATAAAGATGGATTAGAAAACATCGAAGATCTTAAGTTCACAAAGAATTTTTTCGATATTTTCCTACAGACTGTGGCAGCGATTGAATACTGGCTGAAAGATGCGGCACATTTTTGGAGAGCAGCAAACACTACAAAACTTACTAATTATGGGCATGTCCAATGATCTATTCGAGAATATAAACAAAATCGCAAACCTGGGATTTTGCCCAAACTTATAACTCTATTTTCCACAAATGCTTTGAACCTTTTTTATGATCCAGTATATAGCACAACATGCATGCATGCGCACCGTGTGTGGGTTTGCTTGGAAAACAAAAAAGAGCCAAAACTCTTCAGCCCTTACCTCTCCCGATATGCTCAGATAATTATATACTCTATGCACACGAAAGTACGTAGGAAAGTAAATTGTCTGCGCATGTTCACTTTTGCACATGCGTTAGATCATTATAGACAATAATTTCAGCTCAAAAATGCGAGAAATTTCTTGCCGACCTATCAAATGGGAGAAGTGAATAGCTTTTGAAGCAGAAATTGCAAAAAGGCAAAAACCAAAATTTTGTCGTCAAGGTTTTCCATTTTACAGGCGTTTCGGAGCCTGTTGAACTCTGTTGAGGCTCAAAGTAGCATAATATCTGAAATCTCGTTTTCTAGAGGTACCGCGGAAGCAGCGTGGACGAGTTGTGCCTTCTTTTCATCCTAGCCTCCGCCACAGTGGCAGCAACACCTAGGAGGGCGTTGAGTGGAAGAATGTATTAAAAAGAACGTATGGGGAAACCGCCGAGTCGTAGTTGCGTACCAAAACTCTCGGTGAGGACCAATTTTAGCATTTTTTTTCAGTGTAGAGGTATCAGATCGAGCCGGACTTGTTGCAGTGACCTTTTTGAAGATCCCTGTAGTAGATGTGGATTCTGCGCCACCTCAATTTTGGTGAGACTCTGCTTCTAAATGTGATTCGTGCCCAAAATAACTCCAATTAAACTGTAGACGCAGCCCTCACAACTCGAATTTATGATCTTATAATTTTTTTCATAATTTTATCTTGCTACAGATCCATCTCCCTATGAAATCACGTAACATACACCGAATGAATAGAGAATGTCAGCATTCTCTACTTTTACTATTGCCTACCTGACTTACTGCAAGTACTGCTACTAACCTGTTGATAATCTGATGATCACGTAATTTTTTTATGAAGGTCGTTTTGCACTACCCTTTACAATTACTAATAGAATGTACTATTCTGGCTATCTGAAGACCTGGTAGATTTGGCCGCAATGCAATTTTGAAACATGGTGCAAATCAACTATTCATCGGTGCAGAATCACGGTAGGTACTTCGAAGAGTGCTTTGAGGGACCTAATTTGCATCACAAAGCAAACTAGGCCAACTAAAATAGCTACCTGTAAATATAAAGAGAGTCAGCGATCACTCCTCAACATTATAAGATTACGATAGAAACTTCCAGTAAAACGGCCATTGTAAATTGACTGTCATTCAAAAAAAAATCTTCGAATCTGACAAGGTGCGTAAAGGAATTTTCACGTCTGTTGATTCAAGTGCTCACCCTTTCACGATTTTGTAAAGCCGAATGGCGTGTTTGAATTTTTATGGAAGCTGAGAAATTACGGTATGATTGACGCAATAGCAGGGTGCAAAGTTCAAGTTTAGTGTCAGCTACCCGGATCGGATCAATGTGTCAAAGCTTTTAGGTTGTTTAGTTTTTCGATGCTAAATAGGCCCTCACTGGCTCAAAACTCTCTCCAAAATTTCTAACGCAATAACACTAACAAGGAAAGGTGAGTGAGTTGCTCCATACAGTAAATCCAAGTAGCCCAGAATGGTATCTGAGAGTCGGCAGAAGACTTTGTAGGAATAGGCATCAACCAAATAGTGTAATGCTCTCTGCCTCTTTTGGAGTGAGCAGGACTCGAGTGGCTTGGGTCTCATGTTGACGTAAGAAAACAGACAGAAAATACCTTACGGGACGTTTCAAAATATGCCACAAAAGAGATAGCTCCCACAACTTTTAATTTCACTGCTTCAGTGAAATTGATCTACAAGACAAGATTCATTTGTCGTGGTTTGATCTTTTGAATAGCTGCTCAAATAGTATTTTATGCTCTCAGACTGCACCTGGATGTTTTTTGCTATGAGTTCACTATCTATACATGGAAGGGAATTGAATTGTTAATAAATTGACAACATACAGTTAAAAACGATAAAGCTCCCGTATCTTTTCCAGGGCTCGGCACGAGGTGGCTAGATGAAAATGGAAAAAACGAAGTCTCCCTTGACTTTTGGGAATTTTTACGAAGTCCCCTTTGACCTCAACCAAATTTCCTCTAAAAACGAAAAATTCCCCAAAATCCCCCAAAAAACGAAACGTCGACTAAAAAAAAAGGTCGCCGTCGCCAATTTTCCGTGTCTCTTCGGTCACAAAAACGAAACCCCCTTTGCTTTTCGTCCCATTGTAAGCCACCTCGTGCCGAGCCCTGATCTTTTCTTGTATTTTCTTTCCGTATTATTATGCTGTTTAAACACATTCGGTAGACATCAGACGTTCCGAAAATGGCGAGGTTTCCGCTTATCCTACATGAGTCTTTTACTGCTTGTCGCAGAGGATAAGAGAGAGATTACTAACGCATCTTTTTCATTATTTTTATTGACATTGCTCTTGTATCATAACGTTGTAATGTGTTGTTCAAATTGTCAACAGTCGTAAAAGACAATATAAAACAGTAATGCCTATACCAAGCGATAAGAAAATGAGCGACAATTTCTCGGTGTGATGAGCTGTTGAGTTGTTCTTGTTCGGTCGAACATCTTGATTTCGTTTTGAGAACAAAAGAATATCTTCAAAAAGAGCAAGTGTCTTCTCAGACAGCACAATCTGCTTTTGTGTCTTCTCTTCTTCAGACAACTTGCTCAAACCAAGCTGAAAAGTTTGACTTATTAGGTAGATATCTTTTCGAAATGTGAAATTATGAGTATTACCTTAGCTACCATATCGAGAACAGGTAGTAACAGCACACCTGCTATTGGAAACATCCGTCGATAAGATTCTTTGAGCTGCAATGAAAGATATTTAAGCACAATTTATTCCCCGTGTCTTGATTCTACCTTGAATTTGCGCACTCACCTGATCGAGGGAAAATGGAAGCTCTCCAAAACAGTGCTTCTGCATTACTCCGTGAAATTCTTCAAGCAGGCGCTCCCAGTTTTCTCGACGATCTTTTCCGCTCATAGTACTGATAAAGACACGAACGAGATCCTCTGCAGCACATCCAAAATGTGCTAATGTAATGAATTCATCATTCCATTTGCGAGATGGTCTTACGTTCATTTGTTCTTCACTCAAATATGTACTCGCTACAACTAGAATGGTACCGAAGATTTTAAGCCTACCTATTTTCGTGATTTTATTCTCAGTTTTATGCATCCGATGTATTTTTGCCCTACTTATGAGAATTTTTGATGTAGGCAGTTCTAAGACATATCTAACCAGTTTTTTGAATGAATAGAGAGAGCTTTACTAAACATTGTTCAATGGTAACTCATACTTAATGTGACCTAGACATTCAACGCTAGGTTCCCACTACCGTACCAAAGATCGTAATTGTTCCGCACGGAAGAGTAGGGTAGATACCCAGGTTTAGTCATTTTTCAGCCACGAGTGAATTGTATGAGCTAGCATCTCAATTAGTTTCCAAGTAAGAAGCTTCACCACTCATATCTGCTTCTCTGATGACAGTGAAGTTGAACTCTTAGTGACGAACTAGCTGGCTTACCCGGCTCCGCCGTATCCGGACCAAACTTGGCACACATACACTTCGGGCCCCGGCGGGTGTCACAGTCCACTTTTCGTTATCGATCGATGTCGATTTTACCGATTTTTATCGATTTTTTTGCAGAGTTCACCTACAGGGCTAGGAGTTGGCACAGGGGGGGAAGTGAGCATGGGGATTCCGAATACAACATTAGTTTTCAGGATCGTCCATTACTTTTATCGATTTTATCGATTTTTTTTGTAAAGTTTGACCTGCGGGGCTGGGAGTTTGCACAGGGGGGTAATCGAGCATGCTGATTACGAACACAATATTAGTTTTCAGGATCGTCCATTACTTTTATCGATTTTATCGATTTTTTTGCAAAGTTTGAGCTAGGGGGCTGGAATTTGGCACAGGAGTGTAATCGAGCATGCTGATCACCCCCCTTGGGGGTGATCAGCATGCTCGATTACCCCCCTGTGCCAACTCCCAGCCCCCTAGCTCAAACTTTGCAAAAAAATCGATAAAATCGATAATAGTAATCGATAATCCCGAAAACCAATATTGTATTCGGAATCCCCATGCTCGATTACCCCCCTTGCGAACTCCCAGCCCCGTAGCTCAAACTTTGCAAAAAAATCGATAAAATCGATAAAAGTAATCGATAATCCTGAAAACCAATATTGTATTCGGAATCCCCATGCTCGATTACCCCCCTGTGCCAACTCCCAGCCCCGTAGCTCAAACTTTGCAAAAAAATCGATAAAATCGATAAAAGTAATCGATAATCCTGAAAACCAATATTGTATTCGGATTCCCCATGCTCGATTACCCCCCTGTGCCAACTCCCAGCCCCGTAGGTGAACTCAGCAAAAAAATCGATAAAAATCGATAAAATCGATATCGATCGATGACGAAAAGTAGCCTATGACACCCGCCGGGGCCCGTAGTGTATGTGTGCCAAGTTTGGTCCGGATCGGTTCAGAAATGGAATTTTCTATTCGGAACATACGTACAGACATACAGACAGACAGACATACAGACAGACAGACAGACAGACAGACAAACAGACATTCAGCTTTATATATAAGATAGAACAACTCTATGGATTTCTATGGCAGGTTTTAAACATGTAATTGCAAAATCAAATCTTTGCTGTAAAAATTTGATAAGGAATGGTTAGATAACGGAAGCGTTTGTTACCAATAGAGCGAAAGCGTATTTTTTCGTTTACGATAGCTTACTCTTTCTGGCCAAGGTTTAGTTTGCAAAGAAAACAATTTGTACGATATTTTGTTTGCAGAATATATGTCGCGTTATGCACTATATTCGCCCGTGTAAATGCTGCTTTAGGAACTTACTTGATAGTCGACTATTCTGCTCAGTCTTAAACCATCTCCTGCACTTGTCCACATCAAATTCGCTGACCAGAGATCACCGTGAACAAAGACGTCTTGCATACCTGTTACGCTACTTCAGATACGCTAGAGCATAGTCGAATATACAAAGATAAGTGGACGAACCTAATTCTTTGTTCAAAGTGGATGTCAGCTCCAAGTCAACGATGTCCGCCGTCATTGTCTCAAGCAATTTCCCAGCTGGTTCAAGCTCTGGAGCTGCGGCATACATGTCTTGAAACATATTCGATACAGCCTGCAAAAATCCAAACTTTTCATTCCAACTTCGTTTATGAAAATATGGAAGGCTAAAGACTCACAGTAGCATGTATCATATCTGGATAGATAATGGGGATGGGATTACTTGCCACTTTTTGTTTTTCATCATCGCTGAGCTCCAAACTCTTTGCTTCAAGATAAGCCAGTGCACGAACGGCCTATAGTAACAGAAATAAGGAAACTACTAGATGAAAATGAAGACGAGGAGAAGTCTTGGAGAATTCCACAGCACTAAAACCTAGTTGCGTCATATACTAGCGGTTTGTTGAAGCCACCGTTAGAGCGTCTGTTTCAGGCGATATTTCAAATGAAGAAAGAACGCAAAACTCACCGCAACGCCAATCAGCCATGTTTAGCTGCGCTATTTTACCCGTCTACTGAGAGGGTATAAAAAAACATAACCTCCTCGTCTCTCTGCACGACTGCATGCCAGATTCGGCTGGCTGACCTTTCCAACACTATACTGAGGTGAGCCCTAATCCCCTCTCTTCTTTCTTGTCCTTTGCACGATGTCTTGATGATATAAAGATAAAAGCTTAGTAAGTACTTGTGCTGTAGAAAGGATTCTTCCAGAGAGGTTACACGTGTAAGCTCTACTGGACAAAATCGTTTAGACATAGATAAATCATTATTTTATTACATGGAGAGTTCCGGCGAGATTACAAATCACGTTACTAGATTCGAAGTCCATGATAGCCTCGGTGGTAGAAAGGCCAGCCGAAGCTGGGATGCGCTCGTACGAGATTAGAGGCAAAGCTTATGCCTCTTTACACCCCTCTGTAGACGAGTGAAATGGCGGCCGAACATGGCCGATTGCCACCGTAATGAATTTTGGGCTTTTTCTGCACTATGATTAAATAAAGGATGTTGTTTCAAGACGACGATTTTTGATCTGATTTGCAGTTTGTCGATATTCTGAAGCGATCCATTCATTGCCAAAGAGGCTTAATCTAAATTATCTACCGTTATAAAGCTGAGCTATACACCCATGCCAAATTGATAGAACCAATGCTAGATGAGGTTTTTATAACTTGGCTTTCCTTTTCGACTTATTCTCCTTGCTGAGCCACGAAAAGAGGTTGTTTCATGTATTTTTCCGTTCAGAAACTATTTCAAAGGCTGGATTGAAATTTATCCTGCATAAGATTTTTTCTCAGGTCTAACTTTCGTTTTGAGGCTATCGTACAATGCTGGGTGGACGATGTTGTTGCGGAACGAGCTACTCTTAAACTTTCTTCGGTTCAAAGCTATTCTTCTAAGCTTCTTCGTTGTGGATGAGGCTCCACTCTACTTTCTTTGCTTTTGAATCTAATTTTTATATTGGATGGAATTTATTTATAAAGGTTTTGTCGATCTATTCTTGATTTTGGACCTATCATAGTATGTTGTAGTAAACAGATCATTGCCAGACAAAGTTCTGAAAGATAGATTGAATCTTCTTCCCCTACAACTTCGCTCTAGGCATGAGTTACTAGCCTTAAGAACTGATAAGTTCGTTTCCAGCTACAAGGCCCTAAAACAAAAAAATAGATTAATCTAATCCTGCAACGACACGTTTCGCATAAAATAGTAGCCTGAAAACGAAGGACACATCGAAATAACATGTTCCGTTACAATCGCGATTACTTACAAGGGAATGGTCAAAATTCGAAGTGGCCAAACCAAAAAAGCTGTATATCATTTGATGCAGTATAAAACGCTGACTTCGAATCTGTCTTCCTTACCTGCTTATCGCTTCTGTGGACAATGCTACAAGCGGTTTTATTGTGATAAAATCATACATAAAAACAGCTTGATTGAGCGCATTGTTGCACTTTTAGCCCAGATTCTGGCTTCAAAAATTTGTAGTAAGCTAGCTGCATGTTTTGGCACGCAGTAAGGCGAACGTGGCTCTGTAGGGGCTAAATTTTCAATTTTACGCATAATCTCTTAACAAAATAATGGTCTTTAATGGCTTATAGCTTCGTCCAGAAAAGCGATAAGCAGGTAAGGAAGACAGATTCAGAGTCAGCGCTTCATGCTGCATCTAATGGTACGCAGCTTGTCTTTGGCTACTTCGATTTCTGACCATTCCCTTGTTAGCACACTGGAGTGATTTGAAAACCAAAAAGTTTATGTGAAAGCACATTTCTGCAACGAAATCGTTTACTAAAACATAGAAGAACACTCCAAACGAAGGATCTGCAACACAAAGGTTTACAAACCCTCAAAGCCACCATTAAATAAATTGCTAATATGCTTTGTAGACGTAATCTGACATAGTGCGCTTCGGTTCCACTTCACTCAAAGGGATCAAAGGGTAAAGAAAAGGGAAGTAAACTAGTGGAGGACGAGGAATCTCTTGGAAGGCAGAAAATTTCAGTTATCCGCTAGTAATTCCCGAAAATGTGATCCCTGTTCTAAAAAAATTCTTCGGGCGCAAGAGGACCAAATAATGATATCCCCTATACAATACCACTCACAGAATATGCATAATTTCCGGGGGTTCCGCGAAATTCGGTAATTCCGCGAAATTTCGGTAATTCCGCGAAATTCCCGGAAATTTTGCATGTTCTGTGAGTGGTATTGTACATACAGGGTGTCCCAAAAAATGCGCTTACTGTTTGAGTGACTCTCTTGTAACCATCTTTCAAGAATCTTTGACTAGCATGCTGTAGAGCTGGCTTCAATTTAGATTTACAGTAAAGCAAATCACAGATCGCTCTTCGTTACTGTAGTATTACGGTAGAAACTCCAAATATATGGTGCCACTGAGAAAAAACTGCCGTTTCAAAAAATTTTGAAAAGTGTGAAAACTTGTGTAATAAGGTTTCCGTGAACGCTTAGTTTAATACTCAACTATGTACAAGTTTGCGAAGCTTTTTGAACGACTAACCGCCTTTTTAAGAACTTTGAAAAAACGCCGCTACTGCTTACCTCGCATAAGTTTTCAATGAATCATCATGATGAGTTGCGGACTTCACGTTTAGAACCAGCAACTCAAATTAGCCCAGTGTGAATGTTTTCAGGCTGTTTTGTTTCCTTTCTGAGGCAAAATATGGCCTCTCATAGCTCAAAACCCTCTCTGAAATTCATACCGTACCTACAGTAATAAAGAGAGATGGGTGATTCGTTCTATACTGTAAATCTGAGTTGAAAAAAGCTCTACAAAATGGTACCTAAAGCTTCTCCACCTCACTACAAGAGAATAATCAACAATCAAACAGTAGGCACAATTTTTTGGGACACTGTTTATCTTTTACCCTAAAACGATATCCAGCCTGCCTGTGCCACCTGTGTCGCGTGCCGATAATCACACTACCTTTCTTTCATAAACGAAGTTCGATCGGTATCGTTTGCATATGCTTAATGCTTAACAATGCAAGAATGAATATTTCATTTTTATAATAACGAGAAATACTCACCTCAGAGAGCTCTTCCGGTCTTACATTGTGGAAGATATTGCGAGTTACAACGCCTTCAACAAATTCCATTCCAATAAAACCTTAACTTTTGTTGGTTCTATGTCTCATCAAACATAGTCCTTACATTTAACCTTTACCTTTTACATCGTTTTCCTTTGTGAAATTTTGTGTAAAATAAAGGTGCGGCATTTTCGATAATGAGTTATCGAAACGCGAAAAAATTCGATAGACGTCCACTTCACGGTTGTGCAACTGATAGAAAATTTATTCGTAGTTGAGGCAATCGCAATATAGGAACAACACTATTCGTCTCACTCCTACCGAATATATTCAATGTTTTTACCAACCTTTTTTCTTTCGACGAAGCCTGTCGGGCTCAAAGGAACCAATTTCAACCCGCTACACCATGACAATAAGTTTTCTACTGTGTATATTCAAGCAGAGGCAAACAGAAACGATAAGGTGGGATAGTTTAGGTCTCAAAAGCCCTACAAGAAAAAAAATTGAACTGCAGCGTCCCCAAATCTAGCCAAAGCCTACTACTAAGGTTGATACAAAAGTAAGGCAAAAAATGATGATTTCCTAACATCTTTTACTATTGTATAGTTCTTTCAGGTGTGTCTCATAAACAGAAAATCATGCGCTTTCTGGTGGTCTATCGAAGATTAATATCTTAGGGAGGCAATACTAGCTGATGAACGGAAAATACTGAAGTTTTCGAAATTGAAGAAAATGCTAAATGTTCCAAGTAAACTTAACTAAGCAGAAAATCATGCGCTTTCTGGTGGTCTATCGAAGATTAATATCTTAGGGAGGCAATACTAGCTGATGAACGGAAAATACTGAAGTTTTCGAAATTGAAGAAAATGCTAAATGTTCCAAGTAAACTTGTTATCATTTTTAATGTTGCTTCTGTGACCTACCTTTCTAGCCGAAAGACAAAAATGGTAATTGTATTGCTGCCAGTGCCATCGATCTCGAATTTTTTCGTGCGATTTCTTGATTTTTCATATGAAATGTCTAGCATGTATCATAAAACTATATCATAAAACATACATACTTATAATATTATGTTCTCTAATATGGGGCAAAATTTATGCTGTATAAATTTTTTTAGGTACTTTTCTTATCCAGACCCATTTTTTCAAAATGTTTTCATGAATACAGCTTTAGGCTAGTAATTTTATTATATATGTTGTGAGGACTGTCTCCTTACCACGTGTCAAGATAAAATTGAGTTTGGGGCCTTCAAAAGCTGTTTAAGGGTTTTATAAAATCACAACAGTTTTGAACGTTTATTAAAACATCTTGACAATAATCCACCTCTCTGTTTTTGGAAAACCTAATGTGTTTATTTTACACAGAATGTCATTCGTAATGTTGAAGCTCATTCATGAAACTGTTGACTAAAAACGGGGTCATTATGAAATAAAAAACAGATTGAACTTACGTTTGATAGGCTAAACGACTCTTGGTAAAACCTGTTATACATGCACATAACATGTCAATTTTTTTGACGTGGCAGGAGGTTGACTCTATATCCTGTGAAGTTTTTATCAAATTTGGTGCAAGAGAAGCGATAACCTTTCTTGAGAAAATGGGTCCGGGAAACGAGAAAATAGTTTTGAATGTTCTCCTAAATACTCTCAAAATGATTTTGTTATATTTGGTGCAAGAGTGCATAAATTCCATACAAACTCCACTGTGCTCATAAAAAGGTCTCACAAAAATCTTTTGGAAGCCTGACCGAATTGAATTCATGGTGACTAAATGATCGGCGATTGTTTATTATGTCTAACATAGGACCTTTTGTAAGGCTGCCAATAAATTTTGTAAATATATTCAACGATTGTCAGAAGTCTCTATGATGAACAGTTCAATGCCATGCCTTGTATAGACTAGTTGACAAAATCAAAGTTAATTTTGGTGTAATCTAGAGCATGTTTGATTTCAAAAGAAACTACAAAAACAGCCATTCCCCTATTTATAATGTTTTTGGACCAATTAGGTGAGAAACGATTCTGTTTTTTCTCTCGCGAAAGTCAATCACAATCACCCACTATTTCAACTCACATTTCTAGCGCTTTCTTCAAAACCTTCGATAACTTTCTCATCTTCTATTTGCAGTTCGTGACGTTCTCGTACAGATTCTGCCAGACCCAGTGATGGTAGAATGGTTACCATCTTGACCGCGAACCTAAACTGGTTTTTGCTCCAATCACACGGTCGGAAAATTTTGGTGATTTGCTTTTGTTTGTCCATTTCATAGAGATAAACTGGCTTGACGAAAAATATTTTCTTTGGGCTCAAGACACTTTCTACAATGTTTTGAGAACTGGAACTTTCCTGTAAGTAGTCTTCATGCACATCACTTTATCTCTATGAACGTCTTGAAAGGGAACAGACTTGTAAACGGCGAGCTGAGTACTCACTTATATGGTAAGTCCTTCATTTCTTCTTGATAATCAGGATCAATCACAGCAATGCGTGACATGAATCCCTGAAAATAAGTTCATTTACAGATATGCGCGTAGTCCTCATCAACCCAGTAACGCTGACAGACGATTTTGAATTTTAACTGGCAGGCCGGCGTTAGAGCACGGCCCACTCAGCCCTCAATTTGATTTGAGTTAACGGTGCCTGTTCTATCGCAGGCCTGCCCAGCTCAGATTCATAGTCTGCCACCAATTGTCTTCTGCGATGAAGAGAACTATAGCCACTGCACTGTCAAACTATAAAAAAAACTTGTTATATTCCTGATTTACAGGCTTGTTAAATAATAATACATCATTTTCCAATATACAGTCTTTTATGTGAAGAATTGTGGAAATTTACCAAGTCAATTGGGTGTTCACTGTAACAAGCTGAACTGTTGATAGTAAACCCATGCTTCTCATTGAATTCTTGATAGGAGAAAATTGAGCAATGCGATCCTGGTGCCCGTAGTAATGACCCTCACTTGCCCTCAGCCCTTCGCGAAGCTGGTGTGAGCCGACAAGAACTGTGAACTCTAAGTTAGGCCATTGAAAACCCCTTCCCAGAAGAAGATTCTAGTTGGGACGCCCTTATGACCATTTCAAATTCTATAGAGGTGCTAGAGGCTGTAACCTTTTTAAAGGATATCGAAGGCTGCGGGAATCTCACAACAATTTCTGCTGCAATCTCATCGACGCGTGGTGGGTGTTGAAATGAGATTGAAATGAGACGGGGGAGGGAACGGCTTCTACATGAATGCCGCAAAAGCTTTGCGACAAGAGTAATGACGGCTGATTTTTGTACTGCTTGACCTTCGCAATAAGTCCGCATAAAACGTGAGTTCTAACCCATACACTAGGTAGGAGAAGAAGCGCAGGAAATAGCGTGCTCTCACAGACAACTGCTACCACTAGTTGTCCTCCTACCAAGTATAAGCGCTGATGTCGTTCGTGAGATGCGGCGAAATCACACAATTCACATTTCAGCAACAGAAGAGGTTATTATGACTATACGGGTTGTTCTCGTCAAAAAAAAAGCCGAAAAAGTAAAATAGGTAAGGTAAGGTCATTGAAAAACAATAGATTAACATTTAGTGATATTCTGAAGTCATGGCACCGCTGAAGTTGCCTTTTAACAACGCAAGCAAAATGAATCAAAAAGTTGAAACGACAACAGCGTGACCAAAATAGGGAGGTATCATCCATTCCGTTAGAATAACGACAGCCTCAGTCCAGGATTTCTTACGCGCTGAGCCCAGAAGTCACTTCCAAGCTTTTCATCGGCCTCTTAAAGCCACCGTAGGTACACTGTGGATGACGGTCTACATGGTTTAAGCTGTAACTCTTGACTGATCCATGGAAAGCTTGGTCCCAAAATGTAGACAAATAATATATATGCGAGTGATCATCAAATAGTGAACAAATTGGAACGCAACTAGTTTACTGCCCGTCCAATATCATCAAAAGATTAAGAAAAGTTAGATACGACAACAGTAGGGCAACATTCTCAAGCGCGTAGGGGACGCAATGCTAAAAAGAATTGGCTCCGCTATGAAATATTAGGTTGTCCTGAAGGTTTTTTCAAGCCACTATGAAATCACGCACAATGAAGACCCGAATGAGTTTCAACATGCATTCGATGCAGCTTTTCCTTCTCTTTCTTATGGTTTACATTTTCGCACCACAATCTTGTATGCTTTTTTTTGATAACTGTCAAAATTCTCCACCCTTTAATTTTATCTGCTCAAAGTTAGGCTAATTTTTGAAAATTTCATTCCAAAGTTTCGGAAAGGGTTAAGTTCAAGTAGTGAAATTCTCGAACTGCAAGGCAGTATTTTTGGATTCTCCTAATCTGCTGTTTTTAGCTTCAAAAAATTATTTCTTTGGAGGTCTCGATTTCTGGCAAAGTCATGAAACACAACGTCAACTATAGCAAACACACGAAAGCTTTGGAGTTTCTGCGAATTGAAACATGATTCTTATGAAACATTATTTATGCAAGATGACCAAGTTTGATTTGCATTAAAAAAGCAGCTTTCTGGAATTTTTGGCACTTTTACCTGGTAAGCGTAATCAAAAAGCCGCGGTTTTATTAAAGAAATAGTTATAACGGACTTGGTAAACGTGGCCCATGTAATCTAAAATAAGTACATTGTAGCCAAAGGTTTGCTACACATAACATTTGCCAGCGTTCTTTAAAGACATCAGGATAAAAATTTTTGAAATTCAGCAAAGATTTGACCTTAATGTTACGCTGTTCAGAAAGCCATGGCGATAACACTGCAAAGGGTAGATCAGAGAGCAAGTATAGCCGTAAGAAAGAGTATAAGAATCTGAATCGAATGATATCTTAGCCGTCCGTGGATTGGAGTTCAGTGAGTTTTAATGAGCGATAAAAAAACGGACAAAGCTTTCGGGACGACCTGATATAAATAAGGTAATGGAGTGCTAAAGCTGCTGGGGGAAGGGGGGAGGGGAGGAGGGAGGAAGGGGGAATAATCTCTTGTAATTCTTAATTAAATCGGATGGCAATGATATAAACTGAAAAAAACTGATACGGATATAAACTAAATTAGTATTTGTTTCTTATCGTGTCTGGTCAGGTGTAATTTTTGTCTGGGAATATGTTTTCACGGTTAGTGCAGGACTGTTTGAATCTGTAACTCACAATGCCGTCTCCAACTTGTCGAACGTTCTTGTTTGGTCCAAATTGGACTTTTGTATTTTTCTCGTTCTGCAATTTTTTCTCGATGTCATCCTAGGTGATGTGCGTTTGGAAGAGACCAGTTCCTATGCTGTGCAAGCTTGGCCGTTCAACAACCGATGGAGAGCTGTTCGTTTTCCTTAAAAAAACATCCTCAACAGCGTTTAGAGAAAAGCTGGTAACGCTGAAAAATTAATTCGACACATATCTTACAATTAGTGAGCCCAAAAATGGCACATGAATGCTGTTTTCTGTAATGCTTCCAAGTTATTTTTGATGGAAGAAGAAACTCAAAAAGGTTTGTAACATGAGCAAGTTGGCAGACAAATCTCAAGCTTGTGTAAGTGCTAATATTGCAACATTTCAAACAGCTTCTATAAACTACTTGTATTTATGTAAGCGCTATTCATTCTTTCGAAAAAATGACCAGTTCAAATGCCTCAATAGTTTTACTGCCCATGCTAAGCTTAATGCAAGATAAAGATGATTTACCTCGAAGAAGATGCATCTATCGTCGAAAGCGTCGCTTCATTACTAGCAACATCTTCGTAAACCATTTCAATGTTATTAAAAATATCTAAAACAGCTCAAAGCACTTACACGAATGAGCATGTTCTTGGCAGCCCGTAAGTAGAACATAATACTTGGTTGATCAAAGCACAAAGAGAAGGAGCTAGATAAAAAACAGCAGCAAAGCCACATTACGGAATGAATAGTTAAGAAACGAGTTTACTAGGCAAGCTGTCAGACTGTCTTCCCAGGGCCAAATCTTTGACATACTTCAAAACTGCATTTGCATATCAGTGATTAAAAATAATGGACAAGCAGCTTCTCCGTGGTGCGAAAACATGCACCTCAATAATACAGTTGGATGCTTCATCGATCTTGCGCTTTCAAAGTGTGGAGCTAAAATTCTTTGAGGGAATATGGCAGCGATATAAGCTGGTCAAGAATAATACTCAAGAAGGATTTGTCGATTTTTGGTACTAAAACTGCTAAAACATTTACGAAAATTCAAATTTATTTCTAGTCTTGGTTTTATGACCCACTCTTTTTTGACTAGGAGAAGTTGATAGTGACTGGATGTCTCTAAGAACAATTACTTTAGATTCTTCAAAATCAGTTCGTTGATTTTGTTTAATATTAATTTTCTAAAATTTACCATAAAATACTATTACGGATATACACAGCAATGACCATATCGTGTAAGTTGATTAGTGCATTTGAGCACTTTTGACGTACTTTTTTCTACTTTCTGCAAGAATTGTTGTCTACTAATAGTAGTATAATAGCCTACTCAGTCTACGTCCAGTAAAGGAGCAACATCAAAGCGAGTTGGATAGTATCTGAAATGGCGAGATATGCAGCAAAATATGTGACCAAAATTCTTACAAATGGAGCTGAAACAAGTTATCCCCAAGTGTTGTTTGGTTTTTTAGAATTTTACAGTGTAGCCAAATGACAAATCTTCTCAGGATTACGCATACTATAAGTTATTTGGACGGGCAGAAAGAAGTAGAACAGGATTACACTTCTTATCAGTTTTCTGTTTGCCTTTATCAGCTGTTTTTGACCTAAGAATGTGATGGAATATTGCACCACAGATAACGCGCTGAGTGAATACTAGCCTATTTTCGGTGATTCGATCACTCGACCAAGTACGAAATGTTCTTCTCCCTAACGACCTTTATACTATTACTCACAGGTTCCTTTACTAGCTTTACACTGAAATGTTTTCACAGTCTTTCTCAATTCAGCGGTCACTTTGTGTAACTGCACAATTTTTTTTTCGAAATTTGCACTAGCAGATTCATTCATCAGAATGATAGGCCTTTTATCTGACTTGTGCAATTTTTCGTGTAACAATTTCGTCGTTTAAAACTGTTTAAGTATCTGTTATAATCAACATTGCCACAGATTGGTAGAATGCGAATTTTTAAGAGTTGCAATAGCCTTAGATTACTGTCAGGTTGGCTAAAAATCAAGTTCGTTTTGGCGTGCAAATCATAATTTTTCTCAGTTTTCTATCCATAGTTTCTTGTGAGGAAGTAGAACAAAGCTTCTTCTATCACATCTCGAATAATTAGGATTTTCTATCACCAGCAAAGACAGTTAGGCCTCAACATGGCTAAGAAAGCTCAATTTTTGATTTTTCAAGCTTCGTTTTCATGCTGTATGGATATAGAGAATAGCAGTTTGGTGTTTGGATACAGAGAAGTTTCCCCTATCTGTATAACAATGAAAATCGTTCTGCCACTTTGAAAATCTCTTATCAAAAAAAAATTCCTCATATTGCGAACTTTAAGGAAAGCTGGG